GTACTATAATTCACTTCTAAATTAGTGAATTTTCGAGACTAGAATACTATAGGGTAAAAAACTCCTTTTTTATCTAGCTAGGATAGAATACCTACTATTCCCTATTTAGAGATATTAGTTTCTAGTCTAATAGGTAATTTAGGGTTAAAATAAACTAAAAGTAGAGCTGATTTAAAAGCGTTAATTAGCTTTTAAAAGGCTTCCTTCTTATATTCTAGTAGAGAATATAAACCAGGCTTCTTCCTATCTTTACTTCCTTTTAAAGGAGAAGTAAGAGGTTACGCGATTTAAGAGAAGTTATATATAAATCTACGGTAAAAGTTATAAAATCTAATAAAGACTTAGATATCTCTAAAACTCTTAGGTATTAGCTAAGAAATAATAGATTTAACCCTTTCTTAATCTATAGTAATACCCTCTCTTAAGATAATATATCTAAGGAATTTAACCTTAGATTAATAGAATATATACTTTAATAGCTTAGTATATAGCTAAGCTTTTTATAAGCGCTATAGTACTTACTTAATATAACTTATATACTTACTTCTTATTCTAGAGAATATAAGGATATTATCTAAATAAGTAATATAGAATTCATCTAGAATCCTATATAAAGCGGTATAGATATAGTTTTAAAATATAGTAGGTGCGTTTATTAACCTAAATAGTATAACTATATATTTAAAATGACTATATTAGGTTCAAAACGCTATTTTCTACTTATCTCTACTTTTAATTTAAATTTAATAATATACGTCTTATATATTAATTTTACTAAAATATTAAGAGCTAGATAATCTATCTAGAATCTTAGAAATAAGAGGTAATAGATATCGATTCTTTACTAAAACCTTATTTAAACCTCTATAATTAATATATAAGCGAAGAGTTCTATCTTTCTTTGGTATAAAGAGAATAGGAGCTCCTATAGGACTTTTTAAAGGTTAGATTCGTTAATTTTTAAGATTTTCTACTAAGTAATCTTGAAGTGATTTTAGTTTATTCTAAGATAATAGATATATAGGCCTATATAGAGGCTTAGAACCTTTAATTAAATTAATTAAATAATTACTTACTTAATTAGTAGGTAATATCTTTAAATCCGCTTTTAAAAAGATAGGTTCGTATTTATATAGCTTAGATAGAATAGATAGTTTATTTATTATAATATTATTCTAACCTTAAATTAAGCTTACTTTAGGCTTACTTTACTTTCTCTCCACTAGTAGTTCTAGAGTTATAATTAAAGTAAAGATATAAGTCTAATTTCGATAAGCTTTTATTAACTAATAAGCTATTATAATTTTAAAGGTAGGGTTCTTAAACCACTATTTTCTCTTCTATAGTAGTAGGTAAATCTTTAATTTAGTTAGAGTTATTATTAATAATAAGATAGGACTTTAACTATAATTTAAGTGCCTTTTAATAGTAATATAGGCTTATCTTACTAATCTAGTAGTACCTCTACTATCTATTAAAGTAATAGATATAGTAAAAGCTCTATAAGTTAGAACTAAGAGATTTCTAACCGCTTAAATATTTAGAATTATAAGTTTTATAGGTTTAAAATAATACTTTTAAATAAATTCTAAGCTAATAATATTAACTTTAGCTACTATATTAAGATTAACTAAAGTCTTCTATTAATCTATTATTATAGGGATAGTAAAATACTATAAAATCCCTATTAAATTAAGAGGTATTAAAGTAGTAGGGCTTACTTTAATCCTTTTTGATTTTTTAAATTTTTTATAATTATTTCCTATACTTAGGTATTCTATAGATAATTAGATTATATATAATCAGGACTACTATAGATATAATAATTGATTTTTTGTTTAGTATAGGTTTAATTCCTTAGTTTCTATTTAGATTTCTCTTACTTTTAGGGCTCTTTATTAGAGCTTTTAAGCTTTTTATAAGGTAAGTCTAATTTAGAAGTAAAATAACGTTATTTTAAAGCTAATTTTAAAGGAAGAAGATTCTAGTATAGTATAGCGAGTAATACTATTTCTACTCTAGTTTCTAGTAGAGGTCTTATATATTTTTATATCTTTAGTCTTAGTTCTAGGACTAGTTTAGAGAAGAAAGTGAGTACTTAATTTTCTTTATTTTCTTATAGAAGATACTCTTCTAAAGAATTTAAATATATCTTAAAATCAAATAGATACTAAGTACTAAATTAATATATAGCTTTAATTTAGTTTCTAATATCTATCTTAAAATTAGTAGTATTTTAAATCAGAGTAAGAGTCTATCTCTTAAAATACTCCTATAAATTAGTATTAATTTAACATTATTCTAGGGTTTTTTCTAAGATATATTCTATCTATTTTATTCTACTAGTATTATTAATATATACTAGTCTACTAAGAATTTTTAATCTTTTAGAAGAATATTTAAATAGAGTAGCTAGAAAAGTAAGATTAAGGTTAACTAGCTACTTATATCGCTTTTAAATAGAGAATTAATTATTAAAAGTTTTAATATCTTTAATCTTAATATCCCTACCTTTCTAAGGTATTTTAGAGGCGAATTTAAGAGATACTAGAGATTCACGATCTCTAGTATTTAAAGATAATTTATTTTTCTCTTTTTGCAATTTTTATAATTTTTACAAATTTTCGATTATTTTTTATACTTCTTATAGCTATTCTTTAATAGATAGAGGTAGTTATTCTTCTATATCTAAAGCAACACTAATTCTAGATATAGGAGAAGGAGTAAGGTATATAGACTCTATACTTCCTTTAGAGGTAGTTTAATATATATTTACTATCTTCTTAGGTAGTCTAAGGTAGAAGAATTAGAAATTATAAGGAATAAAAGGGCTAGGTAAGAAGATAGTAAAAGGGAACTAAAAGAAATATAAAATAATACTAATATAGTATAGATTTAAGGTCTAGGGTAATATAGATCATATTAGTTTTAAAACTAATTCTTAAGGAAGCGAAGAATCAAAAGAGAGAGATTCTTCTTCTTCCTTAATATAGAGGAAGTGAGAGCTAAGTAAGAGCTAGATGAATAGTTCATAATAATCTTACTTTAAATATCTCTTCGTTATGGACTAGCTCTAGGTAAGCCTAGAGCTCACTCTTAATCTAGATACTAAATCAAAAGTGATTTAGTACTATTTCGGGATTTCTGAAGTATCCCATGATTTCTGCCTTAGAAAAATAGGTATCTATCTTTTCTTTCATAACACTAAATCAGGCTAAATCAGGCTAAATCAGGTATCTACGCTAACCTCATTTTAAATAGGCCTAAAAATAGGGGCCCATAGGCCCCTATGGGCCCGCTATGAATTTTATAGGTTAGGCTGGGCCCTAGAATTTAAAAAATGGGGGCCCATTGCCAAAGCCTAGGTGGCCCTCCCACCTAGTCATGTCACATGATTTTATAGTCCACCTGGTCATATCACATGACTTCTAGGGGAGTTTTACTAGTAATTACTAGTAACTATAGGTCAAATTTAGAGGTCAGTTTAGTCATGTAAATATAGCTAGGTTAGGTGATAAGAGCAGGTCATGGGAAGCCTAATTCTCAAATTTTTCTTATTGAAATTACTAGTAATTACTAGTAATCAGCCACTTTTTAGCTAACTGGTCCACCTGGTCAAGTGCTTATTAGAGCTTATAAGAGCTTGTAAGAAACGGTAAGAAACGGTAGGAGTTTTAAATTGTAATATTAAGATCACTAAAAATTACTTATAATTTTAAGTATTTACTAGAGGATAAATCGATGATTAACTTTTAAGAACCCTAGTAGTATAAGTGTTACTTATAGCTACTAGTATTTTTAAGTGTTTATAAGAAAATAATTCATTTTATATACTTTAAGTTATAGCCTTATAGGAAAGCTACTTAGAACTCTCTTATATATATATATACTAGTAGATATAAGTAAAAGCTAATAGATATAAAAAGCTACTAGGTACGCTATATAAGTAAAAGCTAGTAAGCATAAGTAAAAGCTAGTAAGTATAAGTAAAAGCTAGTAAGCATAAGTAAAAGCTAGTAAGTATAAGTAAAAGCTAGAAAATAATCCTATTAAAAATCAAGATTTAATCTAATTAATATTAAATAAAAATAAAATAATTATACTTACACTAAGATATATATATATATATCTATAGATCAAACCACCTACTTAACGTTAAGCCTACTAGTTTATGCTCTAATTGACGTAGCCTCTAGGCTAAGCCCTAGACCACCTAAGCCCTCTCTATCTCTACTATTATCTCTATCCCCTCGACCCTCTTAACCCCCTCGTCCTACTAGACCTGCTCTATAATATTCTAGATTAGACCCCTTAGATCCTTCCCCCTCGCTACCCTTATACTTATCCTTCTTATATTCCTTATACTTATTATTAGAGTTATTATGGATATTATTAGTATCACTAAAGTAGTAATGTTATTAATATAGAAAGACCTATTATCTAGGGATAATATATATCTTCTAATACCTATTTTTCCTTTTATAACTCTAATCGTACTATACTAATATCTATCCTTTTCCTATAATACTAGTTAGTTATATTATAACCTTCCTTTAAAGTGTAGAGTATATTATACTATATATATCTTCTTAATATACTTCTATATAATAGCACCTTTTAGACCCATAGTATTCCTATAGTGGACTGAATACCGATAGAAGGGGTATCGATAAGTATATTTTGGTATTTCCTATAGATCTTTTAGTTAATATTAAAAGATTATTTAGTGTGTTATATCTTACTATTTATGCCCCCTTAGTTAGCCATTAAGTTATAGGATAGGTAGGAGTAGTATAGTTACATAATTTTAGGGCGTTACTAGGTAGATATTTATTAGTAACTTCTTATTTTACTTAGTATTACTAGTAATCACTAGTAATACTAAGTAGTGCCTTTGGATTACTAGTAATAACTAGCGATCCTAAGTAATATCTAAAGATATCTAGTTATCCTTAGTAGTATAAATTAATATATAGTACTTATATCTATTTTTTAGGTCTATGCCCCTTTGGTATACCCTCCTATAATTTACTTAAGGTTGGCTTTGGCTTCACTCTTTGATGGGTAACCTTTCGAATCCCTCCTCTATTACTAACCTTAGTAACTTTTTGAATCCCTCCTTTATTACTAACCTTAGTAGCACGGCCTTTTCCTTTTCTAGGTCCCCCTCTAAGGCCCTTTTCAGGTCCTTCTCTAAGGCGTCGACCTCGACCTTGACTAAGGCCACTATTACTACTATCTCCGCCTTGATTACCTCCGCCTCCTATACTAGCGATACTAGTGACACTAGCGGTGCTAGTAGTATTAGGACCACCTTGATCGCCTCCACCTCCTATATTAGCGGCACTGGTGGTGCTAGCGGTGCTAGTAGTATTGGGACTACCTTGATCGCCTCTACCTACTATACTAGCGGCACTAGTGGCACTGGTAGTATTATCGCTACCTTGGTTATCTCCGTCTCCTATACCATCACCCCTAAAAGCAGCTCTACGACCTCTTCTTGGGGAAACCCGACTTCTCTATAAAGTAGTCTTACGAAGACCTGCTCTAAGAGTAGCTTCTACTATAAGAATTACTAGATTGATTGGGATTTCTTTAGAATCTCCTACTATTGTGATTAAAAGGATACTTGTCTTAGGGAAGGTAAATATAGAGAGAATAGAACTAAAGTACTTATATAGAATAAAACTAAAGAGTAATAAGACTTATGGCGCGTGTTATAACGCTATTTATCTTTAAGTGTAAAGGAAGGTGATAATCTTGGGTATGCTAAATTTAGTATACTCTTTTATATAACCTCCTCGTTGCTCTTCCTTTAAACTATCTATAAAAGAGCTAAGAATCGACTAAAATAGATCAAAAGCGAAGGGTATGATTATTTAAAGAAAGACCTTAATTCTTAAAGGTTAACTTATGGCTATTTATGGAAATATACTTGTGGCTTATAAGCATCTACTAGTAATTAATAGTAACTACTTAAAAAAAAGCTTATTGTAACCGACTTCCGATCTCTATATCTCTATAAGTCTCTTTAAGTATCTCTCTCTTTATTTACTTTCCTACTATCTTACTCCTATATACCTTCTTACCTATAATCTATCTATAAGGCATCGCCCTTCCCTTTCTCTTTCTTCTTATTGTGAGCGTAATACTCTAAAGGTTAAGATAATAGGTAGGAGGGATCGTAGTAAAGATTAAGCTTATCTAATAGTTTATAGTCGTCTCTTTATTATAAACCTAAGCCTCTTTCCTTATACCTCTCTTTTTCTAGTCACGTTGCTAACTTCAATACTTATCATCAAGACCCACTCTCTTTATTTACTATAGCTATGGTTAAAACTCGAAATAAAGGTAGTAAGCCGCTATTAGTGAAGACGACCGACCCCCTAGCGTAGCTAACCGAGCCCCTAGTATTATGTAAGCGAAAGGGGCCAAAGCCAACGATAATAAGTATAAAGGTAATGAAGATAAATATGGCGAAGCCACTAGCGAAGCCACTAGTGAAGCTAGTGAAGCTAGTAAAGCTAAAGGGGAGTGGTATAAAGATAATGGGTATAAAGGCGACTAGCGGGAAGGCTATAGATATAGAGGCGGCGAGCATAAAGGCGATAGCTATTCTATTATAGAGGGGAGGAAGAGGGGCCCCTCCTCTTAAGAGCCCACCCTTAACTAGCGAAGACTCGATTAGTAAGGCCTTACCTAGCGAGGTCTTAACTAATATAGTAACTTTGACTTATCTTATCTTAAGAGATGACCTCCTAAGCCTTAGGTAGCCTACTAAGAAGTAGAAAGAGCGTATAGATGTATCTTTAGGCAAACTTAGTCCTTATTAGCTAGCGGATTTGAAGACCCGCTATATATAAGTACTACTATATGATGATTGGTAATACCTTAGTCGGCCCTTAACTTTAAACTAACTACTTAGTTGATTTTTACTAGGAAGAAGAGGATTTATAATAATCTAGCCTATATCTATGCCAATAACAACCTACGTTATATGGAGTTCCCCTATACTAGTCCTATTATAGTCCTAAGATGCGTATTTATATATCCTTATTATAGCTATTCGCCTAAGGAGTAGTAATAGGGATCGGGCGGTATTATCTAGAAGTATATTAAGGCTTCTTATACTAGAAGGTTAGGTTATAAGGGGCTCTATATTATCTCTAATGGTGATTCTATTGCTTAGTTATGAGTAAAACACGCGCTTTACCCTTAATGCTTTTCCCTTAATAAATCATAACTAATAAGACTAGTTAATATACCCTAATATCTTAAATCGCGAACTATAAGCCGCCTAAGCCTTTAGAGGCCTTTAGGAATTAAGAGGATTAACCTTAAGGCTAGAAGTAGCGTTACTAGTATCACCTAGGCTCTTAATAATAGGAGACTAATAATAGTAATACTACTACTAGTATAAGGAATAAAAGGGCTAGGTAAGAAGATAGTAAAAGGGAACTGAAAGGAATATAAAATAATACTAATATAGTATGGATTTAAGGTCTAAGGCAATATAGATCATATTGGTTTTAAAACTAATTCTTAAGGAAGCGAAGAATTAAAAGAGAGAGATTCTTCTTCTTCCTTAATATAGAGGAAGTGAGAGCTAAGTAAGAGCTAGATAAATGGTTTATAATAATCTTACTTTAAATATCTCTTCATTATGGACTAGCTCTAGGTAAGCCTAGAGCTTACTCTTGATCTAGATACTGAATTAAAAGTGATTTAGTACTATTTTAGGATATCTGAAGTATCCTATGATTTCTGCCTTAGAAAAATAGGTATCTATCTTTTCTTTTATAATAACTATTCCCTCTCTTTCTATAGAATCGACCTTAATTCTAGATAAAGAATAGTATAAGAAACTAATAGAAGTTTAGGGAATATATATTAAAGAACTTCTAGTTGTATATAATATGATAATGGTAAAGTCTTTATACCGCCCGGCAGAATCCTGCCAGATCCTCCTAAGTACTATCTAGTTAGAACCTGATAGTTCTCCTTAGATAGTATGTAATCCTACTTAAATCACATTTGGTAGTATGTCTAAAAATATATAATCTACTATGGTTATATAAGATTAGTAAGGTTCCCCCTTATAATAATCTGACCTAATCTAAGAAAAACCCTTATTTCGTAAAATTGTAAGGAGGTGAGTCCAAACGTGTCTATTTAGACCCGAACTGGGTTGTATAAATGAAAAAGGGGTTAAAATAAAAGGATTGTATCCTTAGGAAGTGCTAATATACTCCTGAGTAACTAAAAAATGTTAGAAATTCCCTTTCGAAACCCATCTAAGATGAGTAGTAACCTACCCATAGATATGGAGTGGCACAAGGCCTAGGGTCGCCCTTAAACGACCCTGAATATACCTATCCCACTAGGACTCCAAGGCTGGTAGGAACGATCTTACCTGGTCATAAATAACCTACCCCCTCTAGAAATCATCGCGGCCCTAGCGTCACTTGATATATAGACTAGGACCTCATTATATGATATATAGTTCTATTTAGCTAACCCTAACGCCCGCGTGCTAGCTATCCTCTATATAGTAAACCTTATAGCTACGGCCCTTAGAACAAACCCGTCCCTATTAGTTAAGACCTAGATAAGTACTATTAGCCATGAAAATAGTTAATGTTCCATGAATAAAGCCCTCTTAAAGGACATCCGCTTGATTAATAAGTATGGCGGAAAGATTCACTAGTTAGTAGCCTAGTAGTTCCTACTTAACTATAAATAGTACTTTAAGGAAATCAGCCTATACATAGGGTAATAGCTAGACGAGAAAGCGAAGGTTGTCTTCGCGAGCGGAAAGCTCGTAGACCAAGCTAGAAATATCTAGAAGGCTTTTAAGTAGAAAGTTAGCGGCTATTACGCCAACCCCATTAAGACTTTCGTCGACTTTAAAGCCTAGATCAAACGGGAATTCTTAGAACACCTTAGACCTAAAAAGCGCTAGGATTACTTCGATTCCCTTTAATAGGGCACGAGAACGGTCTAAGCGTACACTATAGAGCTTTAATAAGTAGTAGTAGATACCAGATTCAACATCCTAGAAGCGATTCTAATCCAGCACCTTTAGAAGGGAGCGAATATAGCCTTATAATAGCATTAGGTAGAGATGAATATATAAGCCCCTACCTTCATAGAAGCCAAGAAACGCCTTATTAAGTTTAAACATGGACAAATACTCTTAAATTACATTAGTCAACACGCGGGAGAATCAGATCTAGACGCTATAGATCTATCCGCTCTCCCTATAGTCACAAACGAGACTAAAAGAAACGATAGGGTTTACTTTAATTACAGGAAACTAGGACACTTTAAGAGGGACTACTAAGAAGAAAGAAAGAAGCCCTCTTACCAAAACCGCTTAAGAAATAGGTTTAGTTAGTAGAAGCCCTTATTAACTATATAAGGCAGGCTTCGCATATACCTAGTCTAGAAGGTATTAACCCCCTTAAACTAGTATAACCTAGTAACACAGAACTAGACACCCTATTAGATATCGCCACGGACTAGTCTCTATAGGTTTAAGTCTCCTTAAATACAATAAACGACCCTCTACTACATTTTAACTACACGCTTAGAATAAAGGAGTTAAGAGTCACTATTCAAGCCATAATTAATAGCGGCGCATCATATTCCTTTATTTCCCCTCGCGTACTAGAAGGATTAAGGGTGGATATATCTATCTATACCTAAAAGAAAGAGTTAGAAGTTACACTCCCTAATAGTAGTTATCTATAGATAAGAACGTCTATCTTCCTCCTAGTATATATAGGAAGCTAGATAGGGAGTATAAAAGTATAGGTCCTAGACCTAGCGGACCATATGTTTATTCTAGGGCATAAGTTCTTATAAACTCAAAACCCCTAATTTAACTAGACTACCTTATATATAATAATTCAGGATAGTCGGAACCAATACTATTAGATTCCCCCCTTAAAAGGCGCCTAAATAGACCCTAACATAAGCGCGGGACTAAATCTAATATCGGGTAAATAAGCTTAGAGAGCGATCTAAAAAGAATAGATAGAAGTAGCTCTTTTTATTATCTAAGAGAAAGATCATAGCTAGGATAGGCCCTAAGTGGAAGTCCCCCGCTATTAAGATAAAAGAATCTAAGAAGTTCTAGATAGGCACCCTCTAGTGTTCTAGAAGGAACTACTAAATAGATTACTACTAAAGCGCCCGCTTAAATACTAGATTAATATAGGAACGGCCGCACCTATTAACCTTAATTCATACCCAATATCAAAGGAGAAGCTAGATAAATAACTCCACTAGATCGAGAAGCTACTTAAACTAGGGCTTATCCAACTATTAAGTAGCCCTTAGGGCTTCCCTATTATATTCGTTAAGAAACTAATAGGTAAATGGTGGATATATATTAACTATCGGGCCCTAAACAAAGTCACTATTAAAAATAGATACCCACTCCTAAGAATTTAGGATCTTCTAGATATAGTCAGAACTATATAGGTCCTCTTAAAGATCAACCTAGCTTCAGGATACTAGTAGATCTAAATAGATAAGAACTCTATCGAGAAGACCGCTTTCAATACTATATAGGGAAAGTACAAATAGCTAGCCATACTATTTAGATTATACAACACACTAGCCACGTTCTAGATAACCATAAACAAGACATTATAGTCCACCCTAGGGCGATATACCCTTATCTACCTAGATGATATCCTAATATTCTCTAAAACGATCGAAAAATATTATATTCATCTTAAGGAGATCCTAACCTTACTTAGTTAACAAGGATTAATCACTAAACTAAGTAAGTGCGAGATAGTAACTACTAAACTAGAGTTCTATAGCTATATTATCAAGAACGGGTCTATATAGCCCATACCAGCTAAGGTCGTAGTAATTTAGGACTAGCTAGCACCAACAAATATCCACAAGGTCTGGTAGTTCCTAGGGCTAGTAATATATTACCACTAATTCATCCACGGATTCACTTATATCGCAGCATCTTTACACGAGCTATTAAAGGATCTAGATAAATCCATATAGAAAGACAAATTCCGCTAAATTAAATAGATGATCGCCTACTAAAGTGCCTTCGCTAGGCTAAAACAATAACTAGTAGAGGCCCTAGTTCTTATCTAACTAGACCTATCTAAGCCCTTTATTATCGAGATAGACACGTCTAAATAGGCCTTAGGGGTAGTCCTAATATAAAAGGATATAAAAGGGACCCTCTATCTAGTTACCTTTAATAGACAGAAACTCTAGGGCGCGGAATTAAACTATCTAATATAGGAGAAAGAGCTTCTCGTAATTAAGCACACACTCCACCTATAGGACCGCTTTATTAATAATAGTTATAAGATAATAGTTATTATAGATCATACAAGCCTGTAATATCTCTAGATAATAATAATATATAGTAAGCGTTTAGCCCGTTAGATTAAGGAGTTCTAAGAATATAACCTTATAGTTAAGTATAGGAAGGGTTTAGAAGCGATCGTGCCTAATACGATAAGCCACCGGCCAGACTTTATTAAGACAGGCCTAGCAAATATAGCTATAAGTTACCCAATATAGTCAGCGATATTAGCAATAGCCTATATGGTTTATCGCGTGCCTAAAGACGTCTAGTTAGAAGCTATAAAGCTATTCTTAAAGATAGGAGACCTACCTAATGATCATCGTACGTGTAAGGCGGTGGAGTCCTATATGGATAGACTTTTATTAGAAGAGAAGACGTTAGAAGTAAATAAACGTCTAATATTCACCTATAAAGATAGCATAAAGTCTCTATATATAGTAGACCCCTTCTAGATAGATCTGGTCGCGCGCTTATATAAGGAATTCAGCTATTTAGGATCCCTAGGACTAGGTGGAGTAGTAAAACCGCGAGCTTAGTGGCCCTCTATACGCGCGGATTTAGAAGAAGAAGTCTAGTCATGCCTAAACTACTAAGTCTCTTAGGGATCTAAGGAGAGCCTAGAGCGCGAAGCAGCGTAATATCTTATAACAGTGGATATCTAACCATTCAAACAGTAGGGAATTAACCTTATTAGGCGACTTCTACTCACGCTAAATAGGAACTACTAGATAATAATAGTAATTAACTATACGATTAGATAGCTAATCGCATGGGCGGTTCTAGATATAACTGAAGAGACCCTAGCGAAGTTCCTTTATAATAATATCTTCGTGCCTCATAGCGCGCCAAAGGAACTCCTATCCAATAACGGCCCGAACCTACTTTCTAGAGCCATACGCTATTACATCTAACTACTAGGAGCCCGTCACCGCATAATAATACCCTACCACCCACAAATGAATAGGAAAGTAGAGAATCTAAACAGTCTTATTAGCCAAATACTTATAAAATATCTCATAGGTAAGCTAACGCGAGCATAGGACCTCTTTCTACTATAAGCGCTATTCTCCGCACACATCCGCATATACTTAGTCACAGGATATAGCCCCTTCTACCTAGTCTATAGTATATACCCTAGGATCCCTAGTGATATAGACTCCCTAGACGCGCTAGTTATAGATAGAGAAGTAATCCTTTAGAATCTTAATAATATAAGAACGAAGGCGAATAAATTGCTACTAAACCGAGCGATCTAAACAAATTATATTTAGGATTCGCTAGTCACGAAAACAAGCTTCTAGGAGGGAAGCTAGGTACTTATAAGGAATAAGTCAGGAAAGAAATTCAAGAGTAAATAGTTTGGCCCCTATTAGGTGCTATAGGTATACCCATTAGGCATATATACTCTTATAGAACCTAGCGGACGAGTACTACAGAATCTTATTAATAGATCTTGCCTGATTAAAGCGAACATAGATAACCCATAGGGATTATAGGCCTCCACAGCCACACAATCAGCCCTATAGCGGGCCAGCCTCTATCTAGACTAGCTAGAAGAGTTATAATAGATCCTTAATAAGGAAGTCTCCCCACTAATATATACAGACCTATCGACTTATACTTAGAAAGAGTAAGAAGAGTCGCGACATATAGATACACGCTCAGGTCTAGTAGAGGAGGGAAATATAGTTACTGACCGCGTATTAGCTAAGAGTAGAGCCAACGCAAAAAGAAAGAGTCAGAAGGCAACTACTTAGCCAATAGAAGAATATACTAAGCTAGAAGAATAGGATTCTAACGTAAATAATTACAAATCAGTCATATCAGAAGCGACCAGATCAGAACTAGAAGAAGAGCAACCCACGCGGGACGCCAAGCGGAGGCAATAGGTCTAGTTCAATAGCCTATTCACAGTAGTAATCTAACCGCTAGAATAGACATATATAAAGATACAGGCTACATAGTTAGTATAGGGACTACGCTAAAGCGCAGGGAAAGGGGCCTATTAGCTCCTATACTACTATATATAAAAGACGCATAGTTAAGTGCGGGCTACACAAACATATATAGGGACTACGCGGTAAGGCGTAGGAAGGAGTTCTTACTAACTCCTATATAATCGTGTACAAACGGACGCATATAAGGTGCGGGCTATATAGATATATAGGGATTATATAGATTATAATATAATTAAAATAAAAAGTAAAGTCATTCTAGGCTAGTATAGAAGCTAGCTACCTTAAGCATAACCTTAAGAAACAAAACTAACTCGAGAAATATCCAAAATCATTCTTAATTAACATAAACGCAAGCAAAACAGAACGCGAGCATACAGAACGCCTATAGATAAACTAGAAATCATTAGAAAGTACCTAAACACGACAAAAAAGATAAGAAACCACCTATATCAACCCGAACAAATCTAAAATAATTAGAGATTAAGATCATCGAAGACGCTACCACTACTATCCTCCTTCTCAGACTTATCTAAACATTCTAGCTCCCCATTCTTAATAAGGATGGCCTTTAGAACGGATACTTCCCATTAAGTATAGGTAATAACAAGAGCGATTTCCTTAATTAGTATATAAGTTCCCTTCTAGTCCCAACCACGAATATATAGATCCTTTATAGCGGAAGTATAAAAGGCAGGATTATAATCAGGCCCGCGGGGAGCACTCTTAGGCTTAGTGGCTATACCTCTCCCCTTTCCTTTAGGATTAGCCACATAAGCGCGCTTCATAACAGTTTCGGGTTCCTTCTTATTAACGCGAGCGCGCTTACTAACACTCTTAGGTTCCTTCATATCCCCACAAAGGCGTTTCTTAGCGGGAGTCCCATAAATGGAACTTCCCTATCAATCACCACCTAGGGCGACCTTATTAGCACACCCATAGAGTAGAGCGGGATCAATAGGATTAGCGATAAGCAAGAGAATATAGATATAGGGCGGTAATAGACCCAATCAAAAGGAGTAACACCCAGGATCACCTCCCTAGGTATAATTAGTATAAGCTCCACTAAATAGGAGCTAGCTATTAACAATCGCGACCTAGTAAGACAAGAAAGGACCTAATTTACGAGCACAATATAAACACGTATTAACCGCAGGCGCAACGATCCTAATCTATTAGACATAAGCTAAACGACGTTAGTTAGATAAGATAGTAGGCCTAAGCTCCCCTTAGCGCTAGTCTATATCAATTTAGGGATAGCGGGATGCGAGAAGGGCCTTCTTAGCCTTAGTTTTAAAACAATCGCGCAAGGGATTACCAGAAGCATCAAGACTAGCGACTTCGCTAACATCCTAAGCGGAATCATCAGAATTAGATCTAGATGGATCTATAACGGCCTTAGCTTTGCCCTTACCCTTCTTATCAGACTTAGCCTTCGCGGCGCGATCTTTATTCTTATAAGCGGCACGCTCCTTCTCCTTTTCCTCTAAGCGTGTGGTGCTCTTACCCTTCTAGGTCTTACGGGCCTCAACCTCCTTAACCTCCTCGGATACAGAACCAGAACCAGAGCCTTCGGGTCCAGTAGGGTTAGAAAGATCTTTAGGTCTAGCTATAAGCTTAGCGATAACCTTCTTACCTTTCCCTTTCGGACCCTTACTAGTATTAACACCTATTTTCGCAGCCTTCTTAGCCACTTCTAAGAGCTTCTTAACGGTAGCGGCTATAAGCGTCCTCATAGTATCTTCATCAGCCTCGCTTATCTCCTTCAAAAACTTCTTCTTAGCCGCGAGAGTAGCCCCAGCGGAGGATCCTTCCCTAGCATCATTAGTCCATACCCTAGCGGCCCCTTTCGCAATATCCCTAACAAGATCCACGGCTATCTTCTCTATGGTTATATTATCAGCTTTAGCGATCTCCTTTAGGAGTGCCTCATCATTATTATTATTAGAAACCTCTAAAACAATATTATCTAGGCCCTCTATAGCGGTTTCCTCCTTAATAGCCTCTGTAGCTAGCTTATCAGTCTTAGGTACCTCGTCACCTATTAGAATCAAGAAGTTAGTATAGGAATAGAAGAAAACGGACCCATACTAACCCGTATAGATCCAATTAGATTAATCTAAACCTATAGGAATAGACGCCAACCCCTATTAGAGTAGAAATAGAGACGAAGTAGACTTACCTAATATATTAACTCACGTAAAATAAGAGGTAGGAAAAGCGGATAGTAATAGATAAGTTTGGTATAGTTAAAAAGCGCTCCTCGTAGGGAACTATAGTAAGCGATAGTTTATAGCGGGCTTATATAAGATATAGTATAGGCGGGTTCTTAACGAAGTTAAGAGTAGTAGTATAGAGAGTTATAAAGAGAAGAAGAAGTTAAAGTAAGGAAAAGTAGCTATTTATACTACAAAGTAAGAGAACGGTACTACTACGCGTAATAACGTAAAAGAACGCTTTCTCTAGCACTATAACCCCTACCTAATCCCTCGCTACTATATAGGTTAACCCTCTAGGTGTCCACTACGCTCCTAAGCGTAGGTTATTAACTAATCAGACAGGTTAGACTAGAATAGACTTAAAAGAACCTTTTAAGCCTCATATGGGCTAAAACGTGGCGAGCCCTATACCCTTATTTCCTTTATTATTATACCTATTTTAAGGTATTCGCACGCTTTTATAAGCTTTTCCTTTGTTTTCCTTTGTTTCTATTATTCGAACCTATCATAAGATCCTTAGTATAAAGGAATTATGCGAACACCCCTATCTATAGCTAAAATTAGCCGCTCTTCCCCTAAAAACCTATAGATTGGCTATAGACAGACATAAGCGGATCTACTTATCTCTAAAAGGGAGCGTATGGGTTAGAATTACTAGAAATCCCTCTATGCTAAGAAGATCTTATATATTCTAGAATATAAGGACATATTCCAAGCTAGTAGGGGAGGATGTGATAATGGTAAAGTCTTTATACCACCCAGCAGAATCCTGCTGGATCCTCCTGAGTACTATCTAGTTAGAACCCGATAGTTCTCCTTAGATAGTATATAATCCTACTTGAATCATAATAATATATATTTCTTTATTTAATATGGTATATAGTAACTTTAAAGTTTTAGTTTACCCTTAGATACTACTTTACTTTTAATTCACTTCTATATTATATTTATATTATAGTTCCTATAATTTGGCGTACTTAAGTAACTATAGTAACGCGGTTATGGTGTATATAATACTTTTATGATTAGTTACTTATTTAGACTCTAGTTAAGTCTATAGTGGATATTATAGCTAGGATTAAAGCTTTTACTAATCTAGATACGCTAATCTTAATATCTTATTTATATTAAGATATAACTACTATATTATATGACTATTATACTCCTATTAAAAAGGCGTGTAAGTAAGTTAATATTAGAATAGTAGGGGATATAGCCGATTTTAACCTTATTATTAAATAGGCTATAAAATTCTAGGAGCCTCTAGGAGCTAAGAATCTATTAAAGGAGGACTAGGTAGAAGATAAATTTTATTTAAGGTTAAAGTAAGTAATTTATAACCTAGGGTGGAGCTTAGAAGCGTCTTTAATAACGTATCATACTATATATAACTTAATAGTGAAAAAGATAGTAATTCTAGTATATATCGATTTACTATTATTTTAGTATTAATTTACTAATCTCTTACTTTTAGACCGCTAAAGCGAATTATTAGAAATATCTCGCCTAATATAGGTAGAATACTACTTTATATTATCTAGCTAGAGTAGGCTATAATATAATAGGTCTTTAATATAAGCGTTTATTATGACTTTAAGAGGGCGATAAAGGATATATCTATTAGCTAGTAGTAAAGTATACGCTCTTAGAAGAGATTAAATAGGCTATCTATATTATTTAGGGTATAGGTGAAGTTAACGCTACTAGAAACCGTAAGAAAGATGATCTTATAGAATTATAAGTAGTAGAGATTTAAGAGACTTTCTCGTTAGAGCTAGTTATAATTTAAGTATAAAGTAAGATAAAAGTAAGGTTAATTTAAAGTAGGAGTAAGAGTTAAACGCGTTTTCTTGATTTTTTAAATTTACTAATTAGAGCTAGTATATTAATATTTTCTCTTATTACCTATTAATTATATTCTAAGGGCTAACCTTTCTATTTTAATAGAAAGTGATCTTCTTTATTAATCTTCTTCTTTTCTTTAACTTCTTCTACTTCCTAATTATCCTTATCTTCTAGAGGTAGGAATAGTATAGTTTCACTTTACTCTTATTTCTAATTTATCTATAGTTTAAGTAGTAAAATATAGAAAATATTATAGATTTTATAATATTTTATAGATAGAGTAATTCAATAGGCTTACTAGCTAATTTAATCTAGGATTTTAAATAGGCTAATAAATTTAGGGGTAAGCTTTTTTATTAGAACCTTTAGTTAGAGATTTCTCATTAAGAGAGAAATAAGGTCTCCTTTTTTAAAGGTAATATCTATATATTTCTTATTATATTATTTTTAGTGCGATTTAATAGCGATTTACTATTATTTTTCGAGCTTTTCTTATATTATTCTTATTTTTATTATTCTTACTTTAACTTCTAGGACCTCCCTTTCTTTAGCGCTAACCTTAGTATATATATAAAAGCTAGGTTAATATCCTATTAAAGTAATAAAAGGTAAGACTTTTATTATAGAATTAATAGCGCTATTATAAGCGAATTCTATACTTTAGAGTAGAGTTAGCTAGTTAGTTTACTTAGTATTAGTAAAGTAACATAAATAATATTCTAGAACTTAGTTTATTCTCTTAGTTTACCTATTAGTTTAGGGGTAGAATACTATAGAGAGGCGTTACTTTATATATAAAAGATAATATAAGCTAGACTAGAAATTACTTATAAAAACTAATCTACGATTAGATATAATTCTATCTAGAGCTCTATATTTTAGTTCTACTTTATTATAGAATAGCTCTACTAGTTCGTTTAAATTAATTATTATAGAAATAGTAAAGAATAGGGCTATTTTTATATAGTAATTAACTATAACTAAAATAGAGTTAATAATTAATTCTTTAAAAAAGGTTTAGGGTAAGCTAGTAATAAAATCTATAGTTAATTTAGACTAAGGTTAAGATAGAATTAGAAGTAAGTTTAGCTTATTATATAGATAATATCTTAGTAAAGTAATACCTTAATATATAGTATATCCTTTAATATAATCTTTTACTTCTTAGTTAATTCGCTCCTAATAGAAGTTTATTTTTAATAGCTCACTTATTCTACGCTCCCTAAAATAGCTAGCTAGAGGGTTATTATAGTATAATTCTAGTAGGATTTACCTTAATTTTACTACTAGGGGGATATAATAACGCTTTTTAAATAATACTAGTCTATTAGAACTAAGAGACTAAGTCTTACTTATTCCTTTACTATTCTTTTACTTTAAATAAGGGTTATAACTTCTTATACTAATAGGACTTATAATCTAATATTTCGCTATCTATTTTAATAACTTAGTAATAGGACTTAATTTAGTAGTATTTCGAGCTTACTTTTAGCTCACTTTACTCTTACCTAACTTTCACTTAGTAGCGGGATAACCTAACTTCTACTTAGTAGTAGGAAAACCTAACTTCTACTTTAATTACTTTATAGTGGGATAATCTAACTTCTACTTAGCTCGCCTAGTAGTAGGAAAACCTAACTTCTACTTAGTAGATTATAATATTACTTAGTATTTATTTATACCTTTATTTAACCTATTTTCTTAGGCATTTCTAATAGTTAACACGCGATATAGAGTAAGGGGATCTTTAAATTAAACTTAGTGGATTTCTATTATTAGATTATCTTTTAATAATATATCCTATATATTAGGTAAGTTATTACTTCTAACTACGTTTATATTAATATAGGATTAATAATTTCTAGCTAAGTCTTCCTATATATAGGAAGATACCTCTTAAACTCTAACTTTTTATTTAATTAGATCTAAATTATATATAATAGGTAGAGCTCTTACTTCCTAGTTTAATACTAAATCAGAAGTAATTTAATACTAAAGTAAGGTTAAAAGACTAGGATCCTAAGTATTCTTAGATTTTCTAAATAGTCTTAATAGAGCGTCTACTAGATTAGTCTTACTAGATCAGTATTTTATAATAAAGTTAAAAGGTAGTAAAGTTATATACTACCTTACTTACTAACTATTAATTTTTTATTACTTTATAAAAGCTTATAAATTAGCGTAATCTAAGAGTACTTTAATTATATACTTACTTCCTTCTAGATAATAGCGCCACATTTTAAAGGAATATACTATAGTATATAGCTCTTAATTAGGCGTACTATAATTTACTTCTAAATTAGTGAATTTTTAAGACTAGAATACTATAGGGTAAAAAACTCCTTTTTTATTTAGCTAGGATAGAATACCCACTATTCCCTATTTAAAGGTATTAGTTTCTAGTCTAATAGGTAATTTAGGGTTAAAGTAAACTAGAAGTAGAGCTAATTTAAAAGCATCTATTAGCTTTTAAAAGGCTTCCTTCTTATATTCTAGTAAAGAATATAAACTAGGCTTCTTCCTATCTTTACTTCCTTTTAAAAGAGAAGTAAGAGGTTACGCGATTTAAGAGAAGTTATATATAAATCTATAGTAAAAGTTATAAAATCTAATAAAGACTTAGATATCTCTAAAACTCTTAGGTATTAGCTAAGAAATAATAGATTTAACCCTTTCTTAATCTATAGTAATACCCTCTCTTAAGATAATATATCTAAGGAATTTAACCTTAGATTAATAGAATATATATTTTAATAGCTTAGTATATAGCTAAGCTTTTTATAAGCGCTATAGCACTTACTTAATATAACTTATATACTTACTTCTCATTCTAGAGAATATAAGGATATCGTCTAAATAAGTAATATAGAATTTATCTAGAATCCTATATAAAGCGGTATAGATATAGTTCTAAAATATAGTGGGTGCGTTTATTAACCTAAACAATATAACTATATATTTAAAATAACTATATTAGGTTTAAAACGCTATTTTCTACTTATCTCTACTTTTAATTCAAATTTAA